TTTATTCTCAGTCGGCATCGAAGCGGCGCTCCGCGATGCTAACACGAAATCACGCGTGAATTCTTCGATCACGTCGGGACGGGATACAGACGGAGAACACAATGAACTCCATTTACCTTGGTAAAACATATATATCCTTCAAAATAACGTGATTTTTAATGCAAATGCACCGCGTGTCTCATCTTAAATTATGCAGTCTAATGCAGGCTAAGAACCACAGATTCAGTGACTAATCGATCCATGGAGCGCTTATATCTGTACCTCACTATAATTTTCTAATCGTACTCATTCTGTTACCGCTATTGCCAAGTGTTAATGCTTATTATATACGAAAAGTACAGGCATTGTGTACAGTTCATGGTAAAATAGTAACACATTGACTGATTCATTCATTGATTCATAGTAGACACTGTAGCTTGACTTACTAAGCGATTCGTAGTGCAAGATGTAGTATAATAAGACACTGGAAAATCAAAGAAAAAAATTAGTTTAAGCGATAATTACGTCCACATCACGCTTACTGTCTTTCTTAACGTTCGATTGCCGCTGTAACCAGCACTACACGACACTAACCAACGCTGGCCAACAATTATTAGCCAGGGACGGTAATGCGCGAGTGAATACAGCAGACTTCAAATACAAGCAGAGTAACTCAAACGCTGTTTACCGTTCCGGTGCCGCTAATGCCAACGCATTAAAAATATTCGAGCACAATACGCAATCGCAGTAGAAAAAAAACGAACTTTTTTTAGAAGGGCAAGGTATTCATGAGGGAGACCATCTACCCGATACACACGTGGCGCGCGCGTGGTTGATTACGGGTCGTTTTAGCCAACGAAAACGAGCAGCACGCCTGCTTGCGCAGCGGCGCGACGCACGGCTGAAAAAGCCGTGCCCGCCGCACGCAAAGGTCGTCGCGGCTTAAAGGAGTGTTCTAATTTTTGATTGAACAGAGTGGAGCGGGCGCGAGGCTGAGCATATACGGTCGCACGGAAAACGGCAGAACTGCGACAAAAAAAAAAAAAAACGAAGAAGAGAGAGAAAGACAAAGAGCGAGTTTAGCAGCCAAATGAGATAGGTCACAACACACGCACGGTTATCTGCTTTATCAAAAACAGATAAATAGGAAATAACAAATGAAAAGTGTAGATGCGAAACAAGCGCGCTTTCGTAAATCCGGTCACAGCCGCGCGCGGGGTTGCTTGTAAAACAGCGCTCGCCGGCGTGACCACGTCACGCCGCCTCTGTCGCCGGAGCGTGTAAAATTGCTGCGGGCTATCGTGAACCCATATTTTTTTCTTGTTTATTCGTTACTGCTGATCCTATAGTTTCGTTCAAGCCACCGCTGTAGAGAAGGAGCAGGAGCGCGGGCCACACAGTAGTACGAAAGCTTTATCAATGTCCTTTCTTTCTTTCTTTCTTTCTTTCTTTCTTTCTTTCTTTCTTTCTTTCTTTCTTTCTTTCTCTCTTTCTTTCTTTTCCGTGGCACAGCTCATGCGGTTGCTGCCCGTTCGGTTCCGAATGTAGGCGCAGGTCCCGAAAGCGCCTCTCGGTCCGTGTTTTTACCAGGCCGCAGGGCAACTCTGCCTCGCGCTCATCACCTGGCACCTCTCAAGCTACACGGCAACACCCCCCCCCCCCCCCCACCCACCACCCTAAAGCACCTATACTGTTCCCATCTCGTCCCCATCTACCAGCGCTCCGGAGCCTGGTAGAGTTCCTGGACGAGACGGGAATCGTGGCCTACCGCTGAGGACGGGCCACTTGCCACCCCTACCCTTGCTTCTGGACTGCTGCTTCTGTTGATGACGACCGTTCCACTGCTCACTTAACCTTTCCTCTTCTTTCCACTTTTCTCCCTTTTCCCTTCCCCGCAGGCACTGCGCCGTGCTCCCGACCGGGTTACAGAAATTAGGTGGCTTTTCTCATCTTGTAACCACTATACCACCACCCTCCCCCACCCCCTCTTTCGTGCTCCGGGCTGCGAAACAGCGAACATCGTGCACTTACTCTACGTCGACTGTTATGCGTGTAACGCTGGAAACTGCGCACATCCCGGGGGAACGACCTTCGTACTCATTACGCGAGGTGCACTGGCTGGCATAATAGCTTATCTCGTTGTGCGAAACAGTTGTGCGACCATGACCTTTACGTTTTATCTACACGTGCGTGCTGCTACCCGATGTTGCATGTACTGCACAGCTCGTGGTCTGCTGAAGCGTACACAACTGCGTACGCGTGTTGAAGCAATCGCTGTAAAACTTCGCGCGTCTTGCCCTAACGAGTTACGTGCATCAAGTGTAGACGGAGTTGTGAAACTGCCACACGAGTATTCCCCTTTTTGGGCTACCCCGTCCGTGGTTGAGCTGCGCAGAACTAGTATAGCTGGAAAAAGCTCAGCACCAGTGGAGTGAACACATCAGGTTGCGAATACAGGGGAGGGGGGACATTGCGATAGGGGGATTTTCAACTACGGAAACACATTGAAATGATGTAAGAATGGGCCTGTTGGCGGTGAAACGTCACGAAATGAGGTGCACGAAAAAAAGACACGGACTAATAAAGACGATGGGAGGATGCGTCGGCTCGCAACAGATTCTGTTCTGCGGAAATACAGCACGATTCGATACGTAAACAAACCGAACCTCGAGAACCCTTTCACGGAGGAGTGCCGCCGCACTGCGCAGCCCAGGCAGCTACAACAAAATATGCGCCGTCCAGCGGGCCCGCGAAGCAGCGTTGAGACAAGACGTCGACGTCTCGTCGTGGGACACCTGAGACCAGGTCTCAAAAAACATGCAGGACCTGTCAATATTGCTTTTTTTGTTATTTCGAACCATTTGTATGTATGTCCAACGCGCACACACAAACGCACGTGCGGCCATACACCAGAGGAGGCGAGAGGGGGGGAGCTGTTTAGACCACCCGAAAAATATGTCGGTCTACGCCCCTGCTCCGCACCTGCACAAACTTGCAAGATTGTAACAGGTGCTAGAGTTCAACGAAAACACAGACCACGCAAAGCCACTAAAGCCCTCTTGTAATTTTTAAGGACCACCAGACTTCACGACCGCTTGTGAAAGAACTGTGCGAGACCGTGCTGTCTAGTCTCGGGCTGACTATTCATGCTTCTCTTTCTTACTCCTCTTCTTTTGGATCTCTTTCCTTTCTATTATTCTCCTTTTCCCCCACCCCAAGTGTAGGGTAGCCAACCGAGCCAAGCTTGGTTAACTTCCCTGCCTTTCCTCTTTATTTCTCTCTCTCTCTCTCTCTCTCTCTCTCTCAGACCGCTCCCTAACGAGTCGACTAATGCAGCCTAAAATCGAGTAATGAATATGTGAGAGTGCGCTTGAGACATATTTTTGTGAGTCTGAGTCCAAGTGAGCCGTATCACTGTTGATCAGGTCCCGGTTAACGTGCTAGATATAGCCAGACAACAGGACATTCTCCGTCTTGTTTCCTGGATATAGCCAGCATTTAACCAAGACCTGATTCAGAGCGCAGGCACAAACTTTATTTCTTGCGTGAGTTTTAGTGAGTTCCGCGTTTTCGGCCGACCTACGACTGAGAGCGAGCGAAACCGAATGAATTGAAGAGACAACAAGCAAGCCAGTTTTGTGGTTCATTCATTTGGTTGAGCCTATCAAAGTAACCAGCCCCTTGGAAAAAAAAATTTATTTGTCTCGTGCATTGAGAGGCAGCGAGATGACTGAAGTGCAAATCAACGGACATTAAAGGGACACTGACGCTAAATAATAAGAGTACGTACATGGTTGAAGCAACGTGGCCGAAGACAGGAGACCTCGTGTTGGGATTGAACTGTTTATTTGGGCGAATCTGTGCCCGGTAAACGGAAAGTTCGATTACAGCAGCAGTCTCGCACAGATAGCAGTCTCGGACTGATAGCGTCGAACGGAGCGTCGGCCTTCGATCAACAACTGACAAGCGGCGAAGCGCGTCGGCATTTATACTCTTGCCGTCGAATGTTCTAGCGTTATCGCTGGCGGTGGCGTAGGTTCCAGAGCAATCTGTACCGTTCGCACAGTGGGCGTGATCTTATCGAAATGATCTACTACAGTCCGGAACCTTCTCGAAAACTGCAGGCGCGGTTTGCGCTGAGAATCGTGTGGTGTTTTGGGACGATAACAAAAACTTGGGAAATGGAACGTGGCACTATAGTTTCGTAGTGCTCAATCCGCCGTGCCAAAATTCAAAGTTGCATTTTATTCCGTCTTCTAATGCACTAAAATGTTCTATGCTGTCATGTCTAGATTGGGAATATGTGGTTAATTGTACTGGTCTCCTGCTGAGTCATCGGCCGTGTGTTCCGGAACGTCCCACCGTGAGCACAAATTGCGTTGTACATGCACCTTAATTTCTGGACTACTGAAACACTGCTGTGTATAATAGCGGCGTTTTTGAGATCCTCGAGTAATTCACAGTTGGCTGTGACATAAGTTACTATCTACCTGTATGGTCCCTTTAAAGTGAATCAAGGTTCAAGAGAATTAAGAACTTCACAGGGCACACACTTTCACCAGTGATATTCATGGCGTTGGCTAAGGGCACGTGGCGACATCTTTATAGCATTAATAATAATAATAATAATAATAATAATAATAATAATAATAATAATAATAATAATAATAATAATAATAATAATAATAATAATAATAATAATAATAATATCTGGTGTCTAACGTCCCAAAACCACGATATGATTATGGCATACATCATAGGGCTCCGGAAATTTCGGTCACCTGGTGTTCTTTAACATGCACCTAAACCTAAATACATAGACTCCTAACATTTGTGCCTCCATCGAAAATGCAGCCGCCGCAGCCGAGATTCGACACCAGGACTTTCAGGTTAGGTTAGGTTAGTTTAGGTTAGGTTAGGCCCCATAACCACTGGAACACCGCGGCGGGGCATCTCTATAGCGCTGACGCCACCTCTATTCTCGTGCTCGCGGTTTAAAGCAACGTCGCCATCGACGCAGCATGCCAGCGGCGCGCGTGTCTCCGGCGGACGAACCGGCGGCTGCCTGGCCTGCTGCCGCTGACCGCCGGAGACCCGCGGCCGCCACCCACGGCCTCGGGGGAGGAGGAGCTCCCACGTCGCCCACCGGCGATACGCCGCCGCCTCCCCCTTCCAGCCACTGCCACAACTCGTCCAACAACGCCCACCACACCACGGACAACGGCAACAAGGCGCCGTGTTCCGTCACGCCCACCAAGACCACGACGTCAGGTGAGTAAAGCGGTTCCTTGACGCTTGTGTTTTATCGCGCGTCGGACGTGACGTGACGGAAACCAGGGGACCCGGCGCCCGGAGTGCTAGCCGTAGAAGAAGAAGAGGGCAGGAGCCCAAGAACCAGGCGGACGCTCAAGGGACTCTGTTATTATGTGCAGGCATTATATACTAAGACTATATCCACTGAGAACCACAGAAACGGTTCCCAAAGCAGAAGCGAAACCACAATACCAAAGTCTGGCCAGCGACGGACTGTCTTCGCAGGAATACCGTACACACAGCATATTATTAAGGCACAAGCCTTTAGGTACACCTAGAGCGAAACACGACGGGCAAGTGAGGTGGTACAAAAATACACGTGACGTGCGATACTGCTGACGTCATGTTGTAACGACACCATCTGACGTCATAATGACGTGCACATGACGGCTTTTGCGACTACATCATGACTAAGATTAACCAGCGCAATATGACGAAACACTCAAGAAGGAACTGAGACACACCGCGCTCAACCAAGAACCACCTTGCCTTAGCAGCAGTTTTAGCGAAGTCCATGATGGTGTCATCGTGGCATCCCATGATGAGGTCACCACATAGCACATAGTTTCTTTAGAGTGTACTAGTACACTGTAGTTTCGTGGTGAACGGTGGGACAACCCACGAGGTAGTGCAGCACTATGCCAGGTACAGAAAAGCTTCAGGGTCGAAGGCGGGCACAATGCAACTTACCGAGAACGCCTTGCTTTCACTCATCTCCCTCTCCGTCGGTCAAATGGGAGAACAATGGTTTTAAAGGTAGACAAAACACTAATTCTAGGGGCTTTCGGCTACACGCGTTGCTACTACTAATAAAATGACCGGGGGTTTTACGTCCCAAACTCATGATATGATTACGAAAGTGATTACGAGGGACGCCGTAGTTGATGGAAGGCACCGGAAGTATTAACCGCCTGATGTTCTTTGACGTGCACTGACAACACACAGTACACGCGTCTCTATACCGTTCCGCCTCTACAAAATGCGACCGCCACGGCACGGATCGAACCCGCCACCTTCGGTCCAGCAGCCGAGCACTATAGGCGTTAGGCTTAGTGAACAGTGCTCGGCGATGGAAACCACTGCACGTATTGCTCGGCGCATGTGGCAGCTGGCGGTCAGGGTGACGATGAGCGCGAGAACGTTCCTGACTACGGTGACTGCACCATGTTAGTAGGCGGCGCCGGCGAAGCGCTGCAATTTTTTTACAACGCGCTCCCGCCAGTTCTAGCAGCTTCACTCGGAACTCGTCGATGTGTTTTAAGGACATGGCAAGCCGCGCTCCGCCATAGTCACCGAGAACCACGGCTGTGTACCAGGGACGCTAAACCTCATCTTCTCGATGGACGCAGACTGGAGCCCCGCGACGACGGTGACCTCTGGCGGCGTGACGCCCTACCAGCGACTACTGGATGCGCTGACCAACGACATCCGATGGCAGAAGGACGTGGACCTCGGAAGGAGGGTGGGCTTCTACCGCTTCCGCGGAGAACTGGGCACCGGGAACTTCTCACAGGTCAAGGTGGCCGTCCACTGCCTGGTTAAAGGTACGTGCGTCTGTTTGTATTGGTCAGCACTTTCGATTTTCTACCTTGGCTATAATCTCCCTGTACGTAAGTTAACAAACAATCGCCAAGTCCTCCACCGCGATCAACAGGCGATCTTAGAACATGTGGAACGTCCTTACACACGGGACTCTTTAGGAACAGTCATGCAAAGCTGAGCCCGAAAACGGCCTGACAGAGTGGCGGTGTCATTCGACTGTGTTCACTCCGCTTCTCGTTCTCCACGCTGCCGCCATATCTCCGCGCCTTCTGGAAGGTCTCTAAGTTGTACGCTTATGACATCCCTCGATGAATCCTGGAACATCTCCACCTTCTTCGGATTTGACTACAGGAGCATCTCAGGAAAAACTGCATAACACTGGCCAATCAGGTCCTAGTGTGTCGTATTGCTGTGTGGACGGCACCCTTGATCGAAGTATAGGGGAGACACAGACGATGGTTTACTGCTGTGCATGCGTGTGTATTGTCATTGCCTTAAGTGCAGTCTATTCCGTGTCATGGTTCACTTTGTCCTGCACTGTACGTTTCATTCGCTGCATGCCGTATTCTTTCTCGTGCTGTCGCAGAGAAAGTGGCCGTCAAGATCCTGGACAAGAGCAAGATGGATGCCAAGACGCAGCGCATGCTGTCGCGCGAGATCGCCAGCATGGAGTCCCTGCACCACCCGCACGTGATCCGGCTCTACGAGGTCATCGAGACACTGAGCAGGGTTCACCTGGCGCTAGAGTTCGCGCCGGGGGGCGAGCTCTTCCAGAAGATCACCAGCGACGGCCGGTACCCCGAAGAGGAGGCGCGCGTCGTGTTCGCGCAGGTCGCCTCTGCCATCAACCACATGGTGCGTTCTCTCTCTCTCTCATTTGGCTAACACAATACATTCCTGACAAGGGGACAACTGAGAGCGTTTTAGCATCTCGCGTTGATCCCCTGTGTGAGCTGTCGTTGACGGCTGCAATTCTTTCATCACCACGTTGTACAGTGCGTCACACTCTTTGATGGATGCTCAAAACACGCAGCTGAAGCACCCATGAAAGAGCGTGAAGTGCAATACAATGAAGCGATGAACGAATGTGGTCTTGTATAAACGAAATTACGCTTGTTCAGAAGCGCTCCTGTTGTGGCGCGCCATCTATATTTAATATTTGGCGTACTTCACGCGCTTTTGTTTCTATCAACAAAAAGAAAAGGAGATTTCAGTCTGTAATAAATGCTTCATACTGAGCATGGTATGATTCTGAAGTTATTTGAGGTGACCTACGACTCGTCTAGTTTACCGATCGCAGCGAGAACTAAGAAGAAAGATGATTAAAGTTAATTATTTACTGAAAAATATAGCCATTAGAAATACAGGTGCAAGTACATACGACTACCACTGTACAACATTCCGAGAGCTCACAGATTTTTTTTTTTTTGATAAACGTTCCTTCTATTTAGCTGGACGGCTAATATATATACTGTTCTTATCCTTATACCTTAAGGTGAAGTAGCGCACTCATTACAGCGAAGAGGAACAAGAAGTACAAGACACTCGCTTTTCCCTTTGTCCCTGTAAAAAGTGCGCTATTTCACTTTATGGTAGTACGGTGTGTACGAGTGTACACGCCAACTTCGATGGTGCGTCATGCACCACGTGTTTTTTTTTTTTTTTCAGTGGCTTGAAACTTAGTGTGGACATTCGTGCAGGCTTCCTTAGTGGACAACTAGCAATCATTTAACTTCATTGTGGTGCGTATTGCTGCAGAGAATCACTTTGACGGATTCCCTACTATGTCGGCGATTGTTCGACGTACCGCGTTCCAGAACCAACATCCTCGCTCGAAACGAATAAAAAAAAAACTGTGCATGGATTTCGGGTCCGATAGTTTATTTTTTATGCAAGTATAGAAGCTGACTGATGGCTGGATAACTTGATATTTAGTTACACGCTAATTAACTCCAATTGCTGAAGCTCACGAAAAACTACGCATTAATTCCGTCTTTTTTTTTCCTTGGAATGTAACAACGAGTGCTTTGAAACCATGTCATGTGAATTTGACGCATCTCCAGACAACGCGTCGTAATTCGAGACTGAAAGGGATAACGATCAGTCACCAGCTATAGCCCAGCTGTCAGCCTAAAAAAGCAGTCAAAGCTGTCTTGTGCTTTTTGAGGACTACAGGCCTACGTGACCACCTTTAACTTTTGGGTAGTGCCACCGCTGCATACGCACCAGCCGATTGACTGACAATCCTCCTTTTTTGTGTTTTCTCCCTCTCTTTCTCTTTCCTCTCTCTCTCATCTTTATGCCCCCTTCCCATTCCCCCAGCGTTGGGTAGCAAACCGGACATGTGCCTGGTTAACCTCCCTGCCTTCCTTCTTGTTGTTTATCCCTCCTCCTTCTCCTTGTTGATATAAATGTCCTTTCTCTCGCGTTCGCAGCACGAGCTGAACATCGTGCACCGGGACATCAAGGCGGAGAACGTGTTCATCGCGGGCCACAACCTGGTCAAGGTGGGCGACTTCGGCTTCAGCACGCAGCTGCGCTCGCGCGACGAGGCCCTGAGCACCTTCTGCGGCTCCCCTCCGTACGCGGCGCCCGAGCTGTTCCGCGACGAGAGCTACGCGGGCCCCGGCGTGGACGTGTGGGCGCTGGGCGTGCTGCTGTACTTCGTGGTGACGGCCTGCATGCCCTTCCGGGCGCAGACCGTGGCCGCGCTCAAGAAGCTCATCCTCGAGGGCCACTACGCGCTGCCAGAGTACCTGTCCGAGCAGTGCAAGAAGCTCATAGCCTCCATACTGCAGGCGAGTTGGCTCGCGTCGACGCGTCTCTCGTCGTCAACGATGCAGAGCGAAAGTACCCTAAGTTCTACGCTGATTCTGCAGCACAGACGAACGCCGATCAAAAACAGAAAAAAAAACACTTAGGGCAGGCTATTGCCACGAATATTAGATGACACTCCACTCTGCAGCTTACGTGCAAACCAGCAGCCACAAGAAATGACTTGAGGCAACTAACCTAAATGAAGAAAATTCTAAGTGCGCAACAAGAAATTAAACCGGCAGAATACACGTGCTCTCATTCCACCGTGTGTCTGCTCTCTCCCCTTTCACCTCACTAGGGCGGAGGAAGTTGTGCTTAGGAGGCTTCGGGCAGGGGTGGCCCTTACACCGGCCGTTATTTTATCATGGAACTAGTCACATTTACGAGTTGGTGATACGTGCCCGTATTGTCCCACTCCTGCGATGCAAGTAGATACATACCACATTTATGGACATGTAAAGGGTTGCAGCCAGAACGCTCCCGTCACCTCGCTCAAGTCGGCCTTTGCTACAGCGACACAGCCAGTTACAGCCACTGGATACATGAAAACAGATTCCACAAGACACTACTTCACTTCATACACAACACCGGCCTAACAGCACACATTTAACAAAAATATTATGCCTTGAAGGCAAGTATTTGTCGAAATAAAAAAAAGAGACAAGAAATTGGAACAAGAAGAAGCAGTGGTCTCCCTAATACTTCGCCACGAACAAGCGTACACTCTCCAATCGACGTAGGCATCCACGGAAAACGCCGTTGAACACAGACCTTGTTGAAAACATACCACTCGATAGCATCTTCTGGTGCATACTCTAACAGGTAAAAAAAAACTCAAAAACTAATCACTGCACGTAACATAGCGCCAGTTGTCTCATCGTTTCTTTTTACGGATCGCATTGAGCTGAAATCGCCAGTTCCTCAGAGTGGGAAAGAAAGGAACAAGACAGATCTCGAAGGCCCGGCTTTTTTTGCTGACCGCACATGTCGCAAGCGATTGCTAAAGCGGAAATGCGTCTTGCTGGCGACGTTATCGACATCACCTATATATTGGGCAAGACTACAATCGTTATCCTTTACGTCTTTTTTGTTTTTTTTTTGTTTTTTTTTTCGGTGGAGACAAAGTCAGCGGGAACAAGCACTGCATTTTCGACCTCAGAGGTTGTCTCTAAGTTCCAGCTGCGTGAACAAGCCGTTTACCACGACCTTATAAGGCAAAAAAATGACATACCACTCAATCTTCTTGCGTTAACACCACGTAATTATCGAGTGAGTTGCCCAAAGCGAAACGTCACAGTGGACGTTATGTCGTGTGAAAGAAAAGTGTCGAGACTTCCTGGGTAATCTTGACTTCATGACTTATCATGACCTTTGAGCGGCACGTTTATATATAATGTTGTAAATATACTGCAGACATGAAAAAGCGCGTAGATAGTTTGCTTGTTCGATTGTTTGTTTCTTCGTTTGAAAACACTGATCAATGACACCAATATCGAGTGACTGGCTTTGGTACTACTTAGAAATAAGATTTCTGAGCATTAAAGGTCGTTAAAAAAGACTACGAGATTGCGATATCGCCACGTGTCATGAACGTCGGCGACAGCTAAAATGTGTAAATAAGCACGAAGTGCAAAATACCAACCCATGGTACAAACCGTAGAAAACACGGCACAAGCCCTTCCCCCGCAAATCACTGCCTGGCAAACAAGCTTCACCCCAAGTGCTATCACATTGCAGAGAAGTATTCTTCAAGTAAACGAAAGACACGTTCGAAGTTCACGGTGACGAATTACTAGATAAGTGCGAGTTGACACATTCTGTTGTGCTTAAGCTTCTCCAGTGCAAAGTAATAAGCTTTATTATTATTATTATTATTATTATTATTATTATTATTATTATTATTATTATTATTATTATTATTATATTATTATTATTATTATTATTATTATTATTATTATTATTATTATTATTATTATTATTTACTGGTCAAATGAAGGAATAAAAATCAAAATTAGGCGGTGAAGGAACCTTCTTTAAATGGCACAGTTATTATCGTTACCGCTGTTATTGTTGTTCTCGCTATTGTTGAAGGACCCACAGCCACAAAATATTTCTAATGCTGGGCAGAAACATGAGCTCACTGAGTGCTATTTCTTAACAGCAGAGCCGTTATAATTGGAGCATGCGTAGTCCGAACCGGAGAAGGGGGGGGGAGGGGTGAAAAAAGAAATCGATAAACTGCTCATGTTGCTCGAAATCGTCATCGTGATGACGCAAGGTCGTAATGTTCAAAATGAGGAAGATGATGTTCGAGATGATGATGATAATAATAATTATTCTCGATATGACGACGCTTGACAATATGAGACTAAATGATCACGATCACGCTGCCGATAATGTTCGAAATGATGATGATTGAGATGATGATGAGGAGGAGGAGGGTGAGGATGATAATGTTTGAAATGATGATGATGATGATGAGAAGGAGGAGAAGGAGGAAACGACGACGACGACGCTCGAGACGATGATGCTTAACGATTGTTATCATTATGATGACGTTTGAAATGATGATGAGGCTGAATGACGACGGTGATCGTGATGGTGCTTGAAATGAGTCAAAATGGTTGATTGGGCGAGTTGGTGATACATGACTAATTATGAAATGGAAGCGCACAACGTAGAAGCAGACGGAAAGACAGGGACAAGCGCTAACTACCAACTGAAAGTTTATTCGGAAAAAATATGAAATATATACTAAAAGATGATACAGTGTCAAGGCACATACGATAACACCAAAGCACAGACCAAAAATGGCAACACCGATAGAATATCTTAGTGCGTCAGCCCTACCTTACCATCGCTTACTGTGCTTTACATTGATTAGTTAACTTCTACGGCTTCTGCTAATGTTTAAAAACGCTAGCTCCTTATCGGACAAAGCGATTGATGGTTTGCTGACGCAAGCCCCGTGTTCCGCTATGTGTGCTGCTTCAATTATAAGCCTTGTGCGCTCATCTTTGTGCTTTTGGAGAACTACTGTCTTATCAAATTGTACTTCACAGCCACATCTAGTGACATGCTGGGCAAGAAAACCATCATTGCCGCTACGAACATTGCACGCATGCTCACGCAACCTGTCGTTGAGGCATCTTCCAGTCTGCCCAATATAACAGGCACCGCACGATGGGGCACCTGTGCGATGCCCCGCACAGGTGGGGCAGCGCATGGGAGTGCGTGTAGTTTCCTCTGCACCACACAAGCTTTCTCAGCTGGCTAGACTGACATGTGGCGCTAGACACAGGGAACAGCGGTGTAAAACAAAGCACAGGAACCGTTTTGTCAACTGCATTAGTGACGTAGTTTACATGATCATACTTTCGTGCGGTGCCTGTTATATTGGGCAGACTGGAAGATGCCTCAACGACAGGTTGCGTGAGCATGCGTGCAATGTTCGTAGCGGCAATGATGGTTTTCTTGCCCAGCATGTCACTAGATGTGGCTGTGAAGTACAATTTGATAAGACAGTAGTTCTCCAAAAGCACAAAGATGAGCGCACAAGGCTTATAATTGAAGCAGCACACATAGCGGAACACGGGGCTTGCGTCAGCAAACCATCAATCGCTTTGTCCGATAAGGAGCTAGCGTTTTTAAACATTAGCAGAAGCCGTAGAAGTTAACTAATCAATGTAAAGCACAGTAAGCGATGGTAAGGTAGGGCTGACGCACTAAGATATTCTATCGGTGTTGCCATTTTTGGTCTGTGCTTTGGTGTTATCGTATGTGCCTTGACACTGTATCATCTTTTAGTATATATTTCATATTTTTTCCGAATAAACTTTCAGTTGGTAGTTAGCGCTTGTCCCTGTCTTTCCGTCTGCTTCTACGTTGTGCGCTTCCATTTCATAATTAGTCTTGAAATGAGACTTAGCTGTCCTAGTGCACCCTTACATACACCCGCGCGATTATAGATTGGCTGTCCGGCAGTGTTCAAGACGAAGAACCGTCTGATCTTCGTTCTTTTTTTCTTTTTCAAATCCCGCAGGTGTGCCCGCGGGACCGTCCCAGCGTGGCGGATATCGGGCGCTCCGAATGGCTCCGGGGCCAGCGACTTCCCGAGGGCTACGCCCGCTACAACATGTACCCGACGCTCGACCTGGACGCCACCGTCACGCAGGAAGAGTTCGAGGCCCGCGCGCACCTGCGCGAACTGGGCATCGGCGAGGACCTGATGCGCGACTGCGCCGACAAGGGCGCCCGCAGCGCCGTCACGGGCGCCTACCGCATCGTCCTGCACAAGATACAGACGACCGCGGCCCTCGACAACGTGGACAGCGAGTCGGCCGGCACGGCCACGGGCACGCCTTCGCCCGGCACGCACAAGGCCGACCGCGTCTCCCTGGGTCCGGACAGGATGTTCTCCGTCAAGAACCGAAAGTCCAGAGCGTGTGTTGTGCTATGAAGGCGTCGTTTTCTTTTTTATAGCTCTGCTAGAGCAGCCTAGACAATTGCACTGGTCTACCAAGTCACGCCTGAGCAGGGCATAAGCCAGAGTGTCCATTTTGCCAGTCGGGTAAGGAGTTCGCGATATTCCGTTCCCAAAGGAGTGAGAAGTTGACGTGCCGACTTGGATCAATTGTTTCTTGAGGAAATGCCAGCAAGAAGGACGAGTCATTGATCATGTCAGGCGTCCTTAAGGGTCAGTGAAACGGTCACTTGTCCAGGAAGGAGAGTGGGTTTATGCGTCGCTCGTTCCATTGTCCACAACTCCACTAGGCCTTGACAACTGAAACAAATGGTAGGGTCACTAGATCGTACAACATGAACGTACAAGGACTACACAAAGCGTACGCACCGGGCTTTTGTCGGCAAGACGGTGGAGTTTATGGAGCTACAGCAATTACCAACGCTCGAGACACGGCTTAGTGGACACGCTACAACGCGTAGCTAAAGACATTGTCGGATAAACACCTGCAAGGATACTCATTAAGGGGGTGCATTGTCAGCCGCATCTCTGTGAGGCCAGCTTTCCTCCTGGCGATGGCGATGGGTTCAAGACAGCATATTCAGCCATATTCGTGGGAACGACTACACTACCGACCCGTCCCTTTAGCGGTGAAGATTGTGCGCAACAGTGGACTACAGGCCAGTGTAAATGGCTCCTTCACTTGTTGTCAGTAAGCGCAAGAGTATCTATATTCGAAGGCAGACTTGTGCAACAGATACATCTTTGAAGTGAACCTGTCCTGACAGTGAAGACTGTACCGCACGTTGAAGCCAGAGCTGCAAAGGTCCTCTCGACTACAGATCCAGAACTTGGATTTCGTGCTCGGCTTGATCCATCAAGCCTTCCATATTTGATATTTTGCAACACGTGGAGATTCAAGATCTTTGCTTTGAATCTGACATTGTCCACATTATTGTCGCAAAAGCTGGTGCAAGGGCGGTCAAAAGTTCCCAGGTCGCCATCCCATGTAATACTATGGCAGTCCGGCCTGGGAATTTCTGATTACCCCAGTAGGCAACCTCCTTATAGGTTTAAGTGGCTTCCCGTCAAGCAAGTCACATCAATCTTCATGACGAGAAAAACTGTAAGTCAGCAAAAAATGCACCTCGCTGAATTTCCCTAACCCTTTCACTTCCCTGTATCATCGCATGCACGTTACCAACAACGATCAAACTCTGAAATCTTCAGTCAGTTTTTTGTCACGCGAATGACACTTGTGATAATTGCGAAGTCAACTGGTAGAATGGATGGCTCCATGGCTGAAGCTGACACTTGGTCCTTTAGTATATGCTGTCATCTTCGTCAGCATGTCTGGTAGCTGTGTCTGACTGATAAAAATTCTTGACTGTTCCGAACCGTTAAAGCCGTGGGACAGCTAAGCTGTCAGCCCTTTTTCTTGGGTATTGCATTTCCTACCTTGTCTTGTGGGTCTTTTTTAACCATTTTGTTATACCATTGTTGTGTTACACTCTGTTTAGCCATGAGGTGCAAATCGACCATTCTGGAGGGCATGGGTCGCATTATATTGCCCCCCGTTGAGTCTTTTCTCTGCCGTGCTAAATCTGTTAGGCCCCTCCACACCATCTTCGCATTTTCTCCCATTTCAGCGAACGTGCAATGAAGCTCGTCATTCCTGAGCGAGCCCATCTCGCCAATCTCGGCGAGGAACAGCCCTTTTTTTCCTTTCCGCTGAGACTCACTCTCGCCTCCAAAGTCACATAACTAGCGAACGCCAACGCCAGCACAGAATCAGCAAAAAGGAGTTTTGATCTAATATTCTACACGATGCTTGGCATACAGCCACTAGAATGGCGTGAGACAAACGTGTCCGATTTTGCAGTGTGATTAGCAGTAGATTCGAAATAAAAGACATTGCGCAAATGGTCATCTTTAGGCACACCGTTATCGCAGGAGCCGTGGAAAACGTTATCACTCGCACGAGCTAATATGCCACAAAGCATAAAACGAAACAAACAAAGGGAGTTTGTCAAGTCTTTTGAATGTACCACGTGAACGAATGTGACCATGCCAGAGGCTCTCGTGGCTGAGAGGTGACCGTTGCGATTGCCAAAACTAGATATGGCAAATCTCAGTTATAACACACCCTGATACACCAAGGTGTGGACCATCTGCAGCAATCGCTATTCTTGGTCACAGTGATGGTACCTACAAAAATTGATACGTTAATTCTGATCTCACATAGCCGGTGGACGAGATGGCGTTGTTTACCTGCAGCTCATTTCCCCAACCACCAAATGTCACGTGACTTTGGTTCCACCCAGTTCATACGCGAAGTGTTCATTGCCCCATCACTACGGTACTATAGGCGTTGGGCACTCGTTTCAATAGCCACACTATAGTGAACTGAGGACACCTAAATACGCGAATCCTCGAACACAGGGTGTCGCTAGAACCAATCGTTCGACAAGTCTTCAAAGCACTTATAGCTTTCACGAAGACAATACCGATTGTCAAAACGATGGCTTGAACAACGCTCCGTGTTTCAAGCATGATTGTTTCTCCTGTTCCAGCCTTCATCTTCTACTGACCTTCTGCAATGAGGAAGTCGTCACTTCAAGTGAAAGACGCTTTCAAAATGCACGAACTGATCTCGGTGTTCAAAGGATGCTAAAGGGATGCTATAGGGGACATAAAAATTTTTTCGCGAATTAGTAAATTAAAACTGCACGATAGCGAAAAAAAAACATGCCTCATCCCACAAGAAGATGCTAGGCTAGAAACAAACGGAAAGAAAATGCCGGTGGCGGCAACACCTTAAAATGCGCGCAAAAAACACCGTGACGTCATAGATTCTGTCGGCGTCTACTAGCACTAGCACATACATAGTTCCTAATTGGTTATAATGAAGTATTCGTACATTATACTCTGAAACACTATACCAAGTTCCATAACTTTCGTTGAGCCAATGTGCCCTACATATGAAAAATACGCTTTGCAATCTGTGACGTGATGCACGAAGATTTTGGGCGAAATTTAAAAACGATTCCTTGACCTTGTTTTTCTCTCCTGTTAAGAAGTATGGCAATGGTAAACTTAACCACATTCGAGTTCTCAAAGTACAACTTATCCATCCCATTCGATTCATTAATTGACTCTAGTGTCCTTATACGAGTAATGCATCAATCAGCTTTATGCAGTCAGAGCTAGCACGCGAATTCGTGACTGGTAACGTGCCAGCCTGATTGTCTATACCTTTGTGTAGTTGTAACATACCGACAACAAATCAATATGGACGGTAATATGGCGGCGTGTCGACAATTTCCTAAACAAGAGAGACGTCTGTACCATTCAGTAATTGCAATGAACCACGACCAAAAATACAGCCTCGATAAGTTGCGTCGCCACGTCAGTCAACAGTTTCGGAGGCCATGCGTTGAGGCCCATTGATAGTCAGCGGTATTGCTTAATACATAACGTGCGGGGTTCACTATGCCTCCCATAGTGTTGCACTTTTATGAAGAGAAAGGAAGACCACCAGTGCTGGCTGATTCCTTCGTCACTGCTGTTTCACGGCTCGCTTCGTATAAATTGGCGTGAACGTAAATCACTTACATCTCTTTCTCTCTCAATCACACAAACACATACAAATGCTACTTTTAAGAGTGCGTAATCAGCCACAGCTTTCACAGAGATTCCATAGCTTATAAACTTGCATAAAAGGTTGTGACTTTTCTGAATACTTAAAGGGACACAAACTAAGTCCAAAAAGCTTTTTAGAACTCGAAAAACAGGTATGAGCAAATTTTTCCTCATGTTTAGATGAGATAGAAATTAAGGGCGAGTTTGCAAAAATAAAACGGAAAAGAACCAGAAAGGCTTTTGGCGTCATGTAATTTTTTGCTTTTCCTAGAACAACCTCTTTCTATATTTTATCATAAACATGAACACAGTTTTTAGAGCATCCTTTGTAGGTCTGATTATAGTTAAAAATTTTGCTTTTCTTAATTAAAGAATCATTACAGGGTAAACCTGTACTCCTACATTCGCAGTGCAAACGAACTACATTCAATCGTCAAATGCCACAGAATGCACCTGAAGCCTCAAAAATTCTGCGCCAACATCCACCGCAGAAAAAAAAAAACTTCTTCTGTGGTGAAGTGTGCTTTGTTCCCCCGTGCGGACTTTTCCGTGGTTTGTCTTTCAAATATATACATGTACACTTGTCAGACTGTGATCTTCAGTGTTATGCATGTCACTTGACTAAATATTTGTAGCAACAAGTTGTCATCCCTTCTCACTGTTACTAGCTGCATCGTTACGCGAAGGCAACGTGTAGTGTATCTCTTTTTGTGTGTTTTCATGTGTTAAAAGGGTTATGAACCACTTTCCAAGTAATCATAGAATAGCCTCAGCATCGAAATTTATTGCCTCAGGAGTCGATTACCGCTGCAACTTTCCCAATCCGTAAAAAAAGGAGTGTACTTACAGGTATCATATAGACAAGCAGAAAGACAACTGTGTTAGCCACCCTTCAGTAGCTTTACTAACAAAAGAAATCGCGCTCCTGTCTGTCAATCAATGAAACTGGTATCGTTTTTATGTTTTTGTTATCGTTGTCGTAAGTGCGCAGTGCATTGTGTGTTTTTTTAGGTCACCAGGGAGCGCTGTTCCGAGGGTTAAAAAGAGTCAATGTTTTTCGATTAATAAATCAGTTGTTAGATTGCGCCAGTTTGTATTCCTTTCTTTGTCCTTGTTTGCCTGCGCATACATTTTCAGGATGGATAGATTCCAACTAGGCCGAATCGCAGTTTTGCTTCAGTTTATTTCTAGTTCATCCGGCCTTCTTTCTTCATGTCCTAACTTTGACTTATCTAACCCGGCGGTTCTGGTGCCGTTTATCGCGGTCTGCGAATGCAGAGCCCGCAAGCTGAGCTGGTTCCTAAAGAATGCACAGTGCCCTATGGAAGTTCTGCTTGTGTGCGGGTGGCTGCCTCCATCGGAAGGACATGCGAGAAGAATCAGCAAGATTCTGCGATCAGAGAGCCGAAGACAGGTTAGGCACTTCAAGGATTGCCTAAGAGTGGCGTGTTCGTCTATTTCTGATGGGCGTCTAAACGTCAAGGTCTTCCGCGAGTGGTGTAGACAAGCGAACATTTTAACTGAGGCCATGTGGAATGACGTGCGTCGGGGCTTGCCCAGGAAA